AACTCTTCATGCATACCCTTAGCTTAGCTAGCACTACGTACTTGCTGTGGAGTCAAACCTGGGCATTACCGGTCGAACCACCAGCCCCCCCTTATATCGAATCATGCTGTGTATTGGGTGGGTGGTGTGGATTCACTCAATACACGGGTGGAACTATTCACACATGTATAATATACACAGGCAGCCAAACGAGGCCTAAATCTTTATTTTTTTCTTAGTTAATCTTATTCAGCGATGCTGCTCGATATGAATGCATGCTCTCACTTAACTTCAGAGTTAGCTAGTTAGCTGTAATGGACTAGCTAGTGGGTGTATATATTACTAGTACATATTGTCATACTGACAAGCAGCTTGCTAGTAGGAAATTAAACCGAATAGAAGCTGTCTCACAAACAGCCGCGATGAAAAAGACAAATCCTTACCTTGGAGATTACCCGGAAACGTTAATTACTCGATCAGCCTTTGTTTCAAGAGCTTCTGGTAGCTAGCTAGCTTGTTGCAGAACCTCCAACTCTCTCGTATAAATAGTTCAGAGTCTCACTTAAATTATAGAATCCAGAAAATGCAATAAGTTGGAAGACCCTACTTCTTCAGTTCATAACCAGTTGGCTACTTGCTACTTATCAGAATCTTAATATTCTCAAACAAGACCTTGACACACTTGTACAACGATTAGGTACAGATGCTACAATGTTATTTCCATGTATGAGCGGCGGTGTATGCGGGTTATTTCTCTGTAAGATCGGTATAGATTCACTCAATATGTGTTGCATTGTTCGGTCATAATGAATGCATATAGAGAGACAAAGCACTCATATGAAACAAAACAATAAATATATATAACATAAACATATTGTTATTCGATCCTAGCAGGCTTGATACGGTATACTATTCAACATAGAGCCATTAGACACGGTTAAGTCAATAGTCATCGATCTCTACATCGTGTCTATCGGGCAACAATCACATACATTATATTAAACTATAAAAAGTACCCGTCGGTTGCAACGGGTAAATGCTATTTTAATTTTATTGTTGTTATATATACGGTTTAGCTAGGATAAAATTCACTATGGGAACCCACTTGGATATTCTTTTTAGAAAATCATAAAGTCTGTATTTAATCTTAAGTTAGCATGCAAGTTTTTTTAAAAAAAGAAAATTCTTATACGACTCATTTTGTATTTTCCAAAAGCAAATGAGCTTAAAATCTAACTTAAACACGGATCTATATTTCTAAAAGCGAACGAACTTAAAAACCAACTCAAACACGTATGACATGCCAAAATACCGGTAAAAATATCTTCAATTTTTATAATAGTAGAGGTAGAGAAGAGATATGCATATATTCTTTTTTGAAACCATATTATATATGCATATAGCAGTATATAAGTACTACCATCATGTAGGAGTATTTGCCAGGCGTACAGCTAGCAGCTAGCGAGTGGCACCAACCAGTGTAGTAGTGTACACAGCCACTGCCACTGAGATGGAGCCTAGAGGCTTATTTGGCTCCAGGAGGGAAGCAGCCTCCTCTGCTGCTACCTGCAGCCGTCGTCGTAGTCTCAATGTCGTCTTCTTCTTCTTCTTCCCGCTGCTCATTGTCGCGGCGGCGGCCGGCAACACAACGGCGGCGGCGGCCGCGGCGGCGGCGAGGGTGGCGGTGGACGTCGGGGTGATACTGGACCTGGCGACGGCGCTGGGGAAGAAGAGCATGCTGAGCATGGAGATGGCGCTGGAGGACGTGTACGCGGCGCACCCGGAGTTCGCCACCCGCGTCGCGCTGCGCGCCAGGGACTCCCGCGGCGACGTCGTCGCCGCCGCGTCTGCAGGTATATACACTTGCTTCGACACTTCGACGACATTGGTAGCTAAGCTAGCTCTAGTACTGAAGTGACTAAGCAATCGCCTAATCATGAAGTGCTTTACTTAATGACGTGATTACATTTGGCGTTGTTTACGGTCCCATCATTTGGCTTATTTAAAGAATAAGACAAACGATATATTTGCAAATAAAATATAATTTGTGAATAAAACTTTTATATATGTGCTCGTAGCGATCTAAAAATCAAGGGTAAAAAATAAACTTTCATGAAAAAACTCTAAAATCGACTCCGAATAAAAGGTTAAAAATTTAAAATTTGACTGATAAGTATATATAAGCATAAGTGATAAGTGAAAAAAGATAAGGCTGGTAATATGTGATGACAGTTGTCGCTGCTCTTCTTTTTCTTCTAAAAAAAGTTTTTCTGTTCTTTTTTATTGGGAGAAAATTGAAAAGTGTGCGGACTGCGGACTAAGAGGGTGTTTAGAAGAGAGGGACTAAACTTAAGTCCCTTTCTCCAAAAAATAAGTCCCTAGTCCCTTTCTCCCAAACACCCCCTAAAAACTAGACATCAGACTGAGCATCGGCCAGAACACTAGCTTAACTAATTATGAGGACAGAGAATACATATTCTAAAGTTCTAATGTATGATTTATTATGAACGAAATTGAGATTATGATAATTATTCGATTTTAAACACAAAATAATTAATAAATATTAAAATTTTTAAAAGTTGAATTTCAAGTACTAATCTTTTAGAAAATCATACAGTTTAGAAAAATATTTCTATGATAATCCATAATACATAAGAGGAAATTAAAAAATGCACCTAAAACGTACGTAAGCACAAATACAGATGGATCGAACTCAACGTGCAATAATTAATTAAACACTCTACTGCACCCCAGTACAATATATAAAGGAAGAATCTATCACCTAATCCATGCATTGGACTGTTAATAGTTCTTTTAAGCTGCTCACTTACCTCTCTCGATCAAGTGGTAATACTTTGATCAGTTAATTCTAGCCAGCCTTGATCCATTGTCTACGATATTGTTGCCAAATTGCATTCACGTGAACTTGGTTAGCTAAAAAAAAAGCTAACAAAATAAATGATTCTCCTAGTTTTGCATGAGGATTAATTGGTTGCATGCAAGCAACGACAATAAAAAATAGAAACTACAAAGTGTGGTTTAAATAATTTTATTGGCCTGTTTATATATTATTAAAAAAACTTTGCTAAATATATAACTATGCTATAGTTTATAATTATAATGTAATTATATTACAACTTGCACGAAATTATAATACAATTTACATTGTATATGTTGCATGCAATTTACATTGTACTTAGAAAAAGGTGTTGTGCGTAGCTTAGTGTCGCGGTGGGCTTTGCATGTCTGTACGTATCTCAAAGCACATCCCCGCACCCAAAAAGTCGACAGTTTTTTCCCCTAAAATTTCTGTCAAATGTTAAATATATATAGCAAATCTCCATTTACATTGTACTTAAAAAAAAAGGTGCGGTAGCCTAGTGTTGTTGTGGTCTTTGCCTGTCTGTACGCATCTCAAAGAGCATCCACATGGTCAAAAAATTTGACATATTTTTTTTTTCGAAATTTCTGTTGAATGTTAAATAGCATATCCAATGGGCATATTAGATTGTGGATATGATAACCGTGCAAGAACAGTTTTAAGGTTCTGCAGACTGACCATGCATGAATAGGCCAACTTATGTCAGTAGGGATTTATTTAAGTTTTCCAGGTCCTTTTTTTTCAGGAAAAATGATAATTATAGTGTAATCAGCCAGCTGGTGCCTGGCTAAGTGCACATGATACCCAAGAATCCATGGATTTTATTTTCGTTGGGAGCTGTGGTTACTGCTTGCACACACATGTGCATGTGTAAATTATTATCCCTGCTACCTTGCATGCAAGCAAATCCTATCCATAGTTGGCACATACTGCACTGCGCTGTAAGAAAAAGAAAAATGAATTAAAGTAGTACATGTTTTTTCAACCATGCAGAAATTAAGAGCACATGAAACGGAGAAAGGAGCCCTTTGATTACATATATTATAGAAAAAAATTCGAATAAGAAAGCAGGAAGACTATCTCTTTCACTAATAAAGAAAAGAAGTGCATTTATGTACTGATATTAGTGGAGAAGGTAAGAAGGCTACTCTTGCGGCATCGCTAAATTAAAAAAAAAAAGAGAGAAAAGTTTCACAATAGATCCAACATCTTCTTTATTTTCATATATAATTAACCATATGAGCACAATCCTATAGAAATCTTCATATCCTTCAAAGGTTCTATAGAAAAATAATTTCTCCAATATTTCTTTGCCAATCCCTCATTTCAAGGAGGCACATTGAACTGTCACTGCATTTTGATTAGCCACTTTGCGAAGTTGGCAGAGGCGAATATGTGTTTGAAATTGGTGAAGATGAATTATAGTTAGGTCTAGTAAAACGAGAAAACCATTAACGTATGATTAAATAATTTTTAATTATTACAAACTTAAAAGATGTGTTTATATGATATTTTAAAACAACTTCTATATAAAAAGTTTTTGCACGAAAAACACATTTAGCAGTTTAAAAAGCATGCTAACGAAAATCGAGAAAAAAATCTATATCTTAATTAGAGAATAACACCACCCTAGCTCCACTATTTGCATAGATAGATACTCTCCGCTTTGTATCTTCAAAAATCTGTGTCTAGCCAAGATTCTCTCTACCTCCCTCTCTGCTATATGTGCATTGATAGATACTCTAATCCTTGTAACGATAAACTACTACTGTAGTAGCTTGTGTTGTGATCTGTGAACACTGAACACGAGCGGCCAACACATGCATAGGAGTGGTTGCGACAAACATAATCCAAATGAGATTGCATTGGGATTAGCGGTGTAATCATGCATGTGACATCTAATCTATCTGGCTTTGAAAGAAAAAAATATTTAAATACTTGAAGAGTAAAATTTAGTGATATCAAACCGAATTTTCAATTATAATTTATAAGTACCATTGCCACCAGAACAATAACAAAATAGTAGCTGTGTACCATAATTTAATTTTTTTTTTAGAAAAAAATTGAGCCAAACCATAAGAAGATAACAGCAATCAATTGCAAATCAGTTAAAAAGGCATATCAAATCGCCGAGAAGGAATTGCCCTAAAAAAAAGCAAAAAATTAAAAAGCAAACGCGATAACGCGAACTCGCGAAGGAAGACGAGAGAGAGAGAGAGAGAGAGAGAGAGAGAGAGAGGAGAGAGGCAGTCGCCGCCGTCCGCCCCTTCAGCTCGCCGCTGATTTTGGTCGCTGGGGAAGGAGAGGAGTGATCTGATGGGATTCACTCGCGGGGGCCGTGTAGAAGTCGACTTGATTCGGAGGGGATCGGGAGATCGGAGTCATGGTCGGAGGCAGCGATTGGCGAAGGAGGGAGGATCCAGGCACCGATTTTGAGCGGAATCGTCTGTTCGCTGCGCTGGTATGAGCTCCCGCGAAACCTGATTGAGCCAACCAAATCCAAACAGTTTTCAGTTGGATCTGTTACTGAACCGTACCCTGTCTTAGATTTAATCCATCGATCCAGGTAGATTGCTTTGCTTCAGTGATTATGTCATGAACTAGTTGCAACTAATTGTAAATCGAAAGCGATCAATTAGTTCCTTGAACTTGGGAAGTAAATCTGGGCCTGTTGGTGAGGTTAGATCGTTCTTGCTGTTCATCAGGCAGTAAATCTGGCTAAGATGTAGCATAGCTTGTTTTCTAGTAGAATGGAACCGTTGGAATAAAATGCTAGTATATGGGTAGAATGAGAAAGATTTGCACATGTTGGTTAAGGTGTTACATGTTCTTCAAATTTTGCTATTGATTTATTTCTTCTATGTGCTATCTTGGAGTGTTCGATGTAAGGAAAGGGTTATACAGCATATATTTTGCACAGTTGGCATATGTATTGAACATTGAACTGATCATTCTTTTATATATCCTGCAGCAATAGATCTCATCAGGAATGAAAATGTTGCCATTGTTATTGGTCCTCAGAGCACTTTACAAGCAGAATTTGTGACCTACCTAGCGAACAAGACCAAGGTTCCTGTCATCACTTTCTCTGCAACCGGTGATGCAGTCACTCGGTACCATGTCCCGTACTTCATTCGTGCTTGTTCCAAGGACTCCTATCAGGTGGCCTCCATTGCTGCATTCGTCAAAGCCTATGAATGGAGAAATGTTGTTCTTGTCTATGAAGACAACAATTATGGTGTTGGCATCCTCCCTTCCATTACCGATGCTCTTCAAGGTGTCGGGGTTAATGTCATTAACCGTTCTGCCTTCCCTGCTTATTCCCCCAATAACCATATAGATGTGGAACTATACAAGCTCATGACCATGCAGACGCGTGTCTTCATTGTCCACATGTTGCCAGCCCGTGCTTCCCGCCTCTTTGCAAGGGCAAAAGCACTCGGTATGATGACTAAAGGGTATGTCTGGATTGTCACAGATAGCATTGGTATTGTCCTTGATGTGCTTCCCCAACATTCCATTGAAAGCATGGAGGGAATTGTTGGTTTCCGGCCATATATTGCAGAATCTACAAGGATCACTGATTTCAGCTCTCGATTTACCACCTTATTCAGAACTAAGTACCATCCAAATACTGATATTAGGATGGCAAAACCCACTATCTTTCAATTATGGGCTTATGATGTGGCATGGGCAGTCGCAACAGCAACTGAGAAGGTTCATAGGACCAGATCTTTGAACCCAACTTTTCATCCTCCGGGAAACATAGGCAAGAACTTAGTAGATGATCTCCCAGCATTGCCTGCTGGTCCAGAACTCCTCAATTCCATTTTGCAAGGAGAGTTTGATGGATTGGCTGGACAATTCAGGCTTATCGATAGACATCTGCAGGTTCCCACATATGAGATTGTCAATGTTATTGGAGAGAAAACTAGAGTTATCGGGTTTTATAGTCCTGATTCTGGACTCACAATGTCTGTGAACTCTAGAATTATCCATGGTGATGCTAAATTTAGCACAAGTTCTTCTGATCTGGAAAATATCGTTTGGCCTGGAGATTCAACAACAGTGCCCAAAGGCTGGGACTTCCCAGTGAATGCTAAGATACTCCAGATTGGTGTGCCAGTGAGACGTGATTTTAAAACTTTTGTGAATGTTGAGACTAATCCGAACACGAATAGATCAACTGTCAGTGGCTACAGCATTGATATGTTTGAGGCAGCTGTCAAGAAATTACCGTATGCTCTACGCTACGAGTACATTCCCTATGATTGTGCTGTTTCATATGACCTGCTAGTATCCCAGGTCTTTTACAAGGTGAGCTCTGCTTATTTTGTATTCTTAACTAATTTTCCCTTGTGAATAAACTCATTATTACTAATTTACTTGTTGCCTTTCCGTTTCCCTGGGTGCAACAGAAGTTTGATGCAGCAGTCGGTGATGTGACAATTATTGCTAACCGAACTAGATATGTAGATTTCACAATGCCATACACAGAGTCTGGTGTTTCGATGCTTGTTCTATCTAAGAGTGACGATGAACCAACCACATGGATCTTCCTACAGCCACTAGCAAAGGACCTATGGATTGCCACTATGATCTTTATCTTCTTCACAGGCCTAGTTGTATGGGTGATTGAAAGACCTATAAATCGCGATTTCCAAGGGTCAAAATGGAAACAGTGCATCACTGCTTTCTACTTTGCATTCTCCACTTTGACTTTTTCACATGGTATGTCATTACAGACCTAGCTATTGAATAGATAAAATACATAACTACATACATCTTCGTACATTCAACTTATTAATTTCTAAGGATGCTTTTTTTTATTGTTTTTTGTCGGGTCAGCTGAAAGACTCTTAAGGATGCTATCATATGCTACTGTGATTCAGTATTTGCTGTAATTTGTTTTGATACTACTATGATTTTTGATAATCTATTTTTTTTAATCCTATGGACAGGTCAAAAGATCCAAAGCATTCAGTCAAAAATTGTTGTGGTAATTTGGTGCTTAGTTTTGATGATTCTGGTGCAGAGCTATACAGCAAGTTTGTCATCAATGCTAACGGCAGAGAGGCTCCAACCTTCAGTGACTGATCTAAAACAACTTTTGGCCAATGGTGATTCTGTTGGACACCAAAGTGGATCATTTGTGCAATCAATTCTGAAGAAGCTTAAATTTGATGACCACAAGATAAAGGTTTATAGCACGCAGGAGGAATATGCAAAAGCATTAAGGATGGGATCAAAGCATGGAGGGGTTTCGGCTATCTTCGATGAGATACCCTATCTAAATTCTTTCTGCTCGAAATACGGGAGGGAGTTCCAGATGGTTGGCCCCATTGACAGAACAAGTGGATTTGGTTTTGTAAGCTTCTTGCACTTGTTATTTATTAGTATAATGCATCTTCGAGCATTCTGCCTTGGCTTTACAATATATGTTTACTTTTCGACAGGTTTTACCTAAAGGCTCTCCATTGGTACCAGACCTTTCAGAGGCCATCTTGAGCTTAACGGAAGAACCTGAAAGGTTGAAGATTGAAAAGACATGGTTCATGGATTCGTCCTTGGATTATTATGGCAGTCACAGCAAAGGCTCATCACGTATCAGTTTTCAGAGCTTCCAAGGTCTTTTCATCATTGTCGGGTGCCTTTTAGGTGCTGTGCTGTTGATAAACTTTAGCAAGTTTCTATATGACAAATGCAAAGAGATGAGAGGCTTCGGTTCAGACCGTGTCCATAGTGGCGAGAGAGTTGTTTGTTACGGTGAAGCTCAACCACAACCACCGCAGATTGTCATGGTCGATCGACGATCCTGTGCCTGCTGATACCCTCCAGATTAGGACTGAAAACAAATAAAGAGTGTGAACAGTTATCTGCACCAACTATCCCAACTCCCAAGGCACTAGAATGGCTCTGAAGCTAGAAAAAAGTTCACTTGTTTTGGCCTGCTTGTTGCATGGCCTTGCTTAACTGTGTAAGCCTCTTCTGTTGGTTTTAATTAGTCAATTGAAAGCTATTCTAAAACTCTAGATTTGCAATAATTGTAATGATAATTGTAATGTAGCACAAACATGCTGAACGATGTTCAGTTGATGTTTTTCTTTTCTTGGGACAAAACTCAATTGTAAGCTATTCTAAAAGAACTCTAGATTGACAATGATTGTAATATAGCACAAACACGACGAACGAAGTTTTTCTTGGGCAAGAGTCAACTGTAAGCTATTCTAAAACTCACAGCTAATGTCAGTGCTACTTTGTAACGAGAAACTTTGTATTTAGGCTGTGTTTAGTTCAGCGCAAAGTTTGGATTTTGGTTGAAATTGGAGATGATGTGACTGAAAAGTTGTATATGTATGACAGGCTGATGTAATGGAAAAGGACTGAAGTTTGAATCCAAACTTTGGATCTAAACACAGCCTTACCTTGACACAATGCCACTGAATCTTGCAAACTAAACTTGTGCATTCTTTTCCGCGCCATTACATTTCTCCTGGTTTTCTTTGGTCTCTGTGGAACTAAAAATTTGTAGCAGCTCGGTCAGTGACTCATGTCAATGTAAACCGGGAGAACTATACAGATCTCTGTCATGTCAGTAGACCTGAACATTGAACTAGTAGCCAAGTTTCTGGAAGGAGAAGAAATTTAAAAGGGACACACGCGGTTTGATGCTATACAAGCCTAGTGGAAGTGGAACTCAATTGACTCAAACCATGCAGGTCGTGCAGTGCAACTGTGCAAGCTTAATTAATTAGATCCCAATGATTTGGTCATATGATGCCCGAATAAGCCCTAATTAAGCGCTTGCAGAGAAGAGAAGATTGAATGATCTACGACTTGTATCGTGCTCCTATGACTATATGAGCTATGAACCATTCTGTACCAACTTGTGTGTCATTATACCCTTGGAGTCAAGTCAAATGATTGACTGTTGCTGATACAGTTCTGAATTCTGATATCTCCATGGACCATGGAAAAAAAAAACTTATATATGCATCCTGAATTTCTTGACTGGCTGCTCACAGCCACACAAATCACACGTTAATCAACAAAATGGAAAAAAAAAAGAGAAAGAGGAGAGAAATAGTCCAGCAAGACCGGGCGAACGTGTTGATTGATCCCAAAATTCCCAATGCCTATTTAACACATACTACCTACGTACATGTAGTTCGATATACGTACGTTGTGGTCGTCGCGAGCTGTAGTCATTTCTCTAAACGAAATTAGAGAAATGACCCCACTTAAAAACAAACCGATCCCACATGTTTAAATTTCTGGCTCCACCACTGGCTGTAGTGTAGGGTATGTAAGTTGACCAGCAATGGAGGCGCGGCGGCTGGCTATGGCGGCGGCGGCGGCGGTGGTGCCCGTCCTGCTCGTTGTTTGGAGTTCGGCGGTGGCGGCGGCGGCGGCGGCGACGACGGGAGGAGATGTTTCCGTGGCGTTGGAGGCCTACCGCTTGGACCCGAATGGCAGTGGTTCGCGCACGGGTGCTATCACGGCTGCTCACGGCGATGGTAACCGCTCGTTGGTCTGAATTCTGATATCCTCCCTCCGTACCAAAATAAACCACGATAAGTGTTTTAGAACGTAAAAAGTAGTACATTTAGAGACCTGTAATAGTGAGTCACTGAAATTGCTGTTCTAAGTACATGTTAATGTTTTTGTGCATGCTAAAACAAAATATTCAGTTCTAAATGATGGCACTTATGCAAATGGGAATAGAACCAACTACTAACTCCGTTCTAAATTATGGTAACCTAGTTCTAAATTGGAGTACTTCGAATGTGGATATAGCTATGTTCGTGTTCCCATTCAAGTTTTAGTATGTGTCTAACCACGACTAACTTACTATAAAGTAGAGTAGTATACTATTTTTTTTCTTATGGATTTCTGCCCAAAATAAAGAAACACAAAAGTGCTCGGCTATCATTAGGGCAGTCCCAACCCTCCTCCTAGGATGGTGTCTATGACATTAACTACATTGCCATATAGCACTTTTAGCTTGTGTGGCACTATATTAATTAAGAGAGAGAGAGTGAAGAGAGGAAGAAATTGGGTCTCATGCAAGACACAACTTCAACACGAGAACCTATGCACTAGACACTATCAAGTTTTGCATTGGGAGATAATAGTGTCTTCATAATAGATGAAGAATAAATATGACTGATAGAAAAGAGAGATGATACATTTATTAATGGTCCACTTTAAGAAATCATGGGTTGTAGAGTGTAGTTTCTATTATGATGTCTTATTGACATGACACCATAGACACTGCTTATGGGTACTATGGGTTGGGACTGCCCTTATAGGCTCGTGGTTACCACCAATTCATCAAACACTTCATCTTGTAGGCCTCCTTTTGAACGGGAGAATTTCGAAAGAATATTAGAGAAATCGAGCTAAACTGTCTGAAATTCCGACGAATTTCCTACATTCCTAAGGAGCGGTGAAACTCATCCGAGGTAGATTTCAGCAGTCTTAACGATAGGATTAGTTCTTGCAACAGGCAAAACGGAGATTTATAAACGTGCCACGTATACATTTGCTGTTTTGCCATGTGTATGACATGTGGCCGCGGGGCCCGGTTGTACTTAAACAACACAATATTTCGAGAAAAAATAGGGCACCTAGAAAAGAGAGGAAAATAAATGCCCCTAGTATTAACAAAATAAATCTTATCTATTATGATCAAGTTATACAAAACCAAAATTTTATTGACACATAACACATAAATCCATATATTATATTTATAAAGTTTCACAAAAACTGTAACTAATTATATATGTTCTTATATCAAAATGTAAAAAAAAAACTTCAAAATTTAAAAAAGGCTATGTATATTTACACTATGGATAAAAATACTCATAAAGTTAAGGTGTGACCGTATAACTAAAAAATCATGGTTGATCAAAGATTAAAATTATCAATAGTGTGATTTTTGTAAAACTTTATATCATATCATACGGAGTAATACGTAAAAGAAAACGAGAAAAAAAAAGATAGGTGATCCGTAGCCGCAACCCCTTCGTCGGCGTCCACTCCCTCCGGTGATGCCGCCGGCGCACTCCAATGGAGGAGAGGCGCGCGGCGGCGTTAGCGGTTGCGACAACCGCTATTCTACACCAATCGCCTCCATCCCCACCACCCCCAATCACACCACGCTGGCGCGGCGCCGGCTGCTGGCTGCTGGCTGCCGTCTGACAAGTAGGGATTGCCGCCGCCGACGGAAGGGGGGGGGGGGGGGTTCAGAGCTCCCGTCTTCCAGCACGCGTGCGCGCATGCAGGGCGGCTCCGCCGTACCAAGCCTCGCAGTCGCAGGGCCATGGCCCCATCCGTCCAACTTGGAGGAGGTTCGCTGTTCATCCTGGTTTTGTTTCTAGTGCAGGATCAGTTTGTGAATTGTTATTGCTATGTAGAAGTATCCTAGTGACTTCTAAGTAATTTAGGATAAAATTAGTAGTGAATAGTAGGAGGACTAACTTAGGGATTTAATCTTGAATCATTCGATATATGAGAGCTGAATGTTCAGTGAGCCAAATATAGGTAGTGCCACCCGTGATACACAAAGAAATTGAATGGTAAGAAAAAAACAGTGCACTTGCATACCTCTGATAGGATGTAAAAATCTGAATTACCCTTGATGATAAAGAGGAGGACCTTGCATTGGTTCTGTTAGAAGCAAATCCTGGGGGGCTTAACTTGGTGGAATATATGGCTTGAACCAAATAGAAGAACATTTAGTAGCGTGCTCTGGTTTTTCCGCCCTCCTTGAGGCACTGTTTTTTTGTTTCTTTCTCTCCTGCCGCAAAGATCGCTCTCCTGTAATGTTGCCTTCCTGCCAGACTTTTGCTTCTCCCTCTTAATATATCCGGCAGAGCTCCTGCTGTAGTGGTTTCAAAAAAGAAAAATATAACCTGTTGCGTTAGTCACTATTATCAATAAAAATATAGCCGAGGGAAATGTTTTCATTTGCCATATGCACTTCTCCTATGGACTGTACCTAACAGTATTGCTTAGGAAATTTGTGACCTTCCTTCTATCATGCAAATAGACACAAATAATTCTTGCTATTGTTGTGCTATGTTCAATTTTGCTCATAGGACACGAGACTTGGACATGAACCAATCCTTTTTTCATCCAGAAACCAAGAGAACTAATGCTGGGGTGAGGAGAGACCTAGGAGCACTACCTAGAGGATATGGGAAGGAACTCAAGATTGCAGTGCCATGGAAACCAGGTTTTAAAGCTTTTCTGAATGTAACTGACAGAAGTGTCGGTGGCTATTGCATTGATGTATTTGAGGCTGCCGTGAAGAAGTTACCACACCATCTGAGTTATAAGTTTGTTGTCTTCAACGGTTCTTATGACGAGCTAGTACAGCGTGTGTCTTCAGGGGTGAGCCTTACTTACTGTGCTTGCAAATCATAATCAAAGAATCAAGTACTTACATTATGTCTGCTGGTTCTTACTACCAGAACTATGATGCAGCAGTGGGGGATGTAACAATAACTGCCGAGCGAACCATCCATGCAGACTTCACGATGCCATACACAGAGTCTGGTGTGTCAATGCTTGTACTCATGGAGAATGACTCTAAATCAACAATCGAATGGGTATTCTTGAAGCCACTAACAAGGGAGCTTTGGGTTGCCACTGTGATCTTCTTCTTATTCACCGGCATAGTTATTTGGATGATTGAACGTCCCAGAAATCTGGAGTACCAAGGATCAAGCTCAAGACAGTTCAGCACTGCTCTCTATTTCTCTTTCTCCACTTTGACATTTTCTCATGGTTAGTACTTAGAGCTCCAAATTGCAGGCTATATTTGATTCACTATAAGTGGCTTAATTTAGTTTCTTGCAGTAGTTCTTAAATAACCTATTGTCTTTGTTACAGGTCACATTATTAAAAGTCCTTTGTCAAAAATTGTTGTGGTAATCTGGTGCTTCGTGGTGCTGGTTCTTGTGCAGAGCTACACAGCTAGCTTGTCATCCATACTAACTGCGAAGAAGCTCCGGCCCTCGGAGACAGATCTTGAACAGATCCTGTTTGATGGTGATTATGTTGGATACCAACGGGGATCCTTTGTGGAATCCTTTTTGATAAAACAAGGTTTCAGTAAAAGAAGGCTAAGACCCTACACAAAGAAACAAGAATATGCTGAAGCTTTGAGGAAGGGGTCCATGAATGGAGGTGTGTCTGCTATTGTCGATGAGATCCCATATTTAACCTCTTTTCTTTCGGACCGTCGTTACGAGAAAGAATTCCAGATGCTTAGCCGCATATATAAGACGCCTGGATTTGGTTTTGTAAGCCTCTCACTCTCACTCTATTGCTTCCATTTTTTTAGATAATGAAAATGGATTACATCTTCGGCTTCCATGGATTATTTGCATTGAGAATGAGTTTATTTGCTTCTGTCATAAGACACAGCCATAAGTTTGATAAAAAAAAAGTGAAGATAAAAATAAATGAGAATGAGACATAAAGTGATGGGGCAAATCCCCAACTCCCATTTATTATTTACTAGCGTTATTGACTCTATTGCTTCCATGGATTCGCTCTTCAGCCTTCAAGAGATATACTACATTCTGGACAAAATATGCTGGACTAATTGGCATTGTGCTTTTTTGCTTTCAGGCGTTTCCTCCTGGTTTTCCATTGGTGCATAATCTTTCAACTGCCATATTGGATGTTACGGGTGGGGATGAAGGTTCACGGATCGAAGCAAAATGGTTTGGCACAACGGCTGCCCCTCCAAGCTATGCAATTCCTAACACAGATTCGACACCTCTTACATTGCAGAGTTTCTCTGGTCTTTTCATCATCACTGGATGTATCTCAGCTCTCATGCTGATGATAAGCATTTCTAAGTCAGTTCTTGCCAATTACACCAGAATTAGAGATTCTGAAGTGCGAAGTCCCGATGCGGATGGTGGAAATGGAGGTCGCGAAGAACGTAACTCAGCACAAAACGTCATGGGTGATGGCTATGTGGATGATCGACCTCACCATGAAATCAGAATTGACAGTTCCCAGGATATCCATGGGAGTGTCGAACGTGCTGACGGCGAAGAGCCTGGACCAATTCAGAATGGCTCTGTGCCTGCAAATTCCAGCCAGACCGGATGAATACTGACAAAAAGATGTTGACACTGTCACACGGAGCGTGCTCTGGAACTTCGAAAATAAGAATGACTCGTCTCTTCATTTTTTGTAGGTGTTTGCCAATATGCTGTAGAAATTAATGCAGGAAGGCCGTGGATTAGATCGTTCTGTACATATTTTAGTAATTGATCATGTCAATATTTAATTATTTATCATTTGAAATTATTGTTCTCTACCAACCGTTTAGACTGTAATAATCATTTCTATTTTGCGAAGGCAATGTATATACTCTTGTATTACTAGTGCGTGTGTGAAAAAAAAACACACCTTAGATTTTTTTTTTTTTGAAACGAACCTTTATTTGGTCAATTGTAAGCTGCGCTAAAACTCTAGATTGACACTAACTATATCACATTCATGCTGAATGATGTTCACTTGATGTTTTGCTTGGGCGCTTTTATCCGTGCATCTACTGACTAACGAGAAACAACAGATCGCAGATAAAATGGCGCTGCTACTTTGCTTATTATATACAACTTGGGCAACTTGACATATTTAAATTCTTGCTTATTATATACAGGCGAAAATTCTTAGTCCCATGTTTAATCTGCCTATGAAAAAAGTTTTCACTTTGGCATGCCACTATATTTGTAAACTATTCCTCTGTAAAAAAAAAAAACTTCGGGCTATATATCTAAACATAGCTTTATGTCCAGATATATTTTCAAAAACTGGTTTTTTCTGAAATAGAGAATGTAAGTTTTGTGTCTTGTTTGTCGGGCTATTTCTCCTAGGCTTGGCAACACTCGTTTTCACACATGCAACTCGCATATACACTCAATTTTAATCTACTTATATAACCATGAATAAAGATATAGGTACAACTATAATTATGATTAGAATAGACGAATTATAAAACCTGCTAGTCCGTCCTACTTGCATCTTAACATAGTCCAAATACACTGAACATTAAACGACAAGACATGTAACAGTAGAAAGTAGTAGAACATTCATGTTCTTGAACTAGAAGGGAATGAATTCGTCAGCCGAGACGCAATACATCACAAATTTGCACCGTATTACAGGGGACGCGCCTGTTTGGTGCTAAAAACTCCATTTCAGTCAAATCATGCAGCCCCAATGATTTGGTCATCACTAAAAATAAAAAACCTTAGCCTGTAAGAAATAAAATTTGACTGCTGATCTACTTGTATTCGTATACACGAACAGTTCTATATATACCTGTGTTGTTATGATAGGTTTCATTCTTTTTAGCTTACTAGAAAAAATGCCCGTGCGTTGCAACGGGTGAAGGCTATTTTAATCTATTATTGTTATGCGGCTTAGTTAAGGTAAAATTCGCTGTGAGAATTCGCTTGGATATATATATTTTTAGAAAATCATAAGTTACAATTAGGAGTTCAATCGTGTCAAGTTAGCATGCGAGTTTTTTTAAGAGATTTCTTATACAACTCTTTTTGTATTTTCAAAAACAAACGAACTTAAAAACTGACTCAAATACAGATATTTATTTTCAAAAGCGAACGAACTTAAAAACCAACTCACACACATATGACGTAAAAAAAATACTGGCAAAAACATCTTCAACTTTTATAATAGTAGAGATTTTATGGCGGTTATGTTTGTCTAGCTCCTAAACCATACGATTTTTTCTGAAAACTTTTTCCATAAACTTTTATCATAAAACTTCTTAAAACTAATGATTCGACTTTCTAACATTTAATTCATTTATTCGTGCTTTTGAATAATTATCGTAAACTTAGCTTCATATCGATCGTACTTATGTCAACTATATATAATGAATGGGACGCCTTTCAAATTTCAAGTCAAAGTCAAATGATTGATTATTTCTACATTCTGTAACGCATGTTTATACTACAGCCTTGAGTACTTCTGAATAGTATAACTGAATAACTGAGGCTTTCTTTTGACAGTCTATACCTCTGGAAACACGCACTCTGAATTTTCTGAGTACTGGCTGGCTACGTTACCAAATACATATATAGTACAAAAAAAACTGTCAACTAGACAGTGTATAAACCGTGTATTGGTCGCGTAGGAGTATCCTAGCTAGTAGTTTCTACTTAATTACTTAGTGTCTGTATACATATACTACTACTTATCTCTACTATTATAAAAATTGAAAATATTTCCACTAAAATTTTAGTATGTCGTGCATGTTTGAGTCGGATTTTGAGTTGGTTGTATGTCGCCCATATCCAATTCGACGTTGTTTACATCTAAATTTGACACCTATGGACGAAGTAGGGAAAAATTGTCAAAATTTGGAAGGCGCTGGTTTTCCTTCATGGGGCCTGTCAATGAAATGGGAACTACGGTACCCATTTCCCCGGGAACCTAGCATTCCATATTGATTAATACAAAAGGTGTACTTATATCAGTATTAATCTAAGACGCGTAATAAGTATAAGGGGGCTTGGGACCTACTATAGGGTGAGTCCCAGGATCCCCATCTCACGACATAAACTGATTTCATAGATTGAGGGGTGCGGGACGCGAATCCCTGCCTTAGCTCAGGACCTGGGCCCTCCCATGACCTTGTAGGTTATGTATCACTTATTGAGAAGAGCGCAAAAACCTACAAGATCAACATTTTTAGAATAAGGCCGTGGAAAGCCTGGGTCCCGGCTTATTTTGGGATCCGTGCTCACATTTGCCCTTATATGTCATGATTCCTTTCTGAGAGGAGTGTGGATAAATACAAGATCTACATCTTAAGACTATAAATCAAGGGGAGCCCGAATCCCAGTTCGGTTTGGGATCTGGGGCCCCTTATGCCCTTGTATGTCACGCATTCCTCCCTAAAAGGAGTGTGGAGACATATAAAGATCTACGTCTTAAGATGGTAAGCCGAGGGGAGCCCAGGTCATCTCGCGCCTCGGAGAATGGGCTATCCCTCTCTTCAAGCTTCTCAACATAACTAGGGGATTTACCTGGACGGAGGAGGCAGAAGAGACTTTTTGCCAACTCAAAAAGTATCTCTCTTCGCCCCCAATCCTTGTTGCCCCATACCTGCAAGGGGTAAGAGCATATGCTGTAGACCCAAATATCGATCCCAGGCTGATCATTTATCATCTAGAGTTTATGCCCCTTCATCTCATATCCAAGCTATATGAGGAGGTATTCAGGATATTGAGACGGGAGCTGTCAGCCCTTGGTGAAGATGCTACTGCATATGCCGCAATTCATCTCATTGACAAAAATCTTGGCACAAATGTGTAGAAACTATGTCAAAATTACAAAGTACTATCGACTTGGTTGGGAGTGCATGCTCCCAAAGGTTCTTTTTAACGACCCTGGAAGATTGTAACCAGGAAAAAAAACAAACACACCGCCACCACAAGTTGACAGCTCTTTACACAGCACTCTGGAGAAGACACTAGCACCAAGCCGACCGCCACTAAGCGTGGCCGATTGCCACTAGGCCAACAAGGGGGTTACAAACGCCTCGCCAAACACCAGCTTAACTCCGAAAGACAATGAAAAGATCCCGGTTATCCTCACGTAGAGGGGTTGAGGAGAGGGAGAGGGCGAGAGAGAAGGAGATCCGCTCATCTCTCACCCTAACCTGATGATGACAACAAGACCTGCCAGCGTCCAAACAGTGAGAAGATGGCGAAGGAAAGGAATAGAGACGTCCTAGACAACGCCTTCAAGAAGGCCATGGCAACAAAGACATCACCGTTGCCCGTCCAACTAGACTCGGTTTTCACCTGGAGAGTCCTATCGAGGAAGGGGAGAGAGGCTGCTCGACAACGCCCCAAGGAGGGAACACAACATCCAAGGATGTTGCCGTTATCGGCTCAGGCAGTCCCGAGCTAGCCTTTCACCTGCAAACGTCCACACCCACCCGTACCGTCGCTGCCCTGGAGCTCCGCCGCCTGAACAACCTCTATCAACTCGAAAGTCTGCCGCACTAGTGCCCCATCACTAGCCAGCCTAGATCCACCTCCCGCAACTCACCGTTGGCGCAGCTAGTACCCGTTGCATCTCCTGCCGTGAGCGCAACCCGATGGGGTCGCCTTCTGCTTCTAGCCGAGCTGGCTTTGCCACCTGCCAGGACGCGCCAGCCTCCACCTCGAAGTCACTGGACGCGTTGGCCTCCACCTAGACGCTGCCGAATGCGCTTCCCTCCACCTCGATGCCTTCGAACGCGCTGGCCTCCACCGCCGCCGGATGTGCCGGTCTCTCGCGGGGCGCGACGGCCTCCCAGCCGTCGCCCACGCTGTCCTCCTACTCTGTTGGCCGCATCAAACACAATTCACGCGCCTGCCACCGCAGCACGCATCTCCTCCTCCTCCGGCTGCCCCAGCCGACCGGTCGCATCTGTGCCGCCATACGCCTCTCGTGCGAGCATGCGTCTCCCGGGCCGTGCACGCCGCCGACTTTGCCGCCGTCTCCACCGTGCTGTCAATCTCATCCCATTCTAGCCGCGGGAGGTTGGACTCACCTCCCCAGATCCACCACGGCCTCCTCCTCGAGCCAGAAGTGGCACTGCCGGTGCCGCCCTTGCCCGATTTGGCCGCGAAGGGGCCGGATCTACTACGACCGGCCTCGTCGGTGCCGGAAATAGTGCCGACGGCCGGCGTCCCTCCACTCAAATCTCGGCGTTGCCCCCGCCCACCGAGGCTTGAGCGAAGGGAGAGGCCCCGCCGCCCCATCCTTGCCGTCGCCCAGCTTTGTCGGTGGCCGCTCGGGCGGCGGCGAGGCGGAGGAGGAGAGGAGGGAGGGGGTGGCAGCGGGTAGTGGCGTCGCTGCCCGTGTCGCCTTGGAGCAGGGCGACGTGGGGGCCTAGGTAAATCTTACTCCCTCTGTCCCCACTCTCAAAGGTACTGGTGTTAACGACCAAATTTGGTAATATCAGCATCGGAGATGAAGATGAAATCGAAGCGGAATCGAGGATAAGGGTTTTTTCGGAAACAGAGTAAGAATCGGCTGGAGTCCGGATCGGCTATGACTGGGATCGGCTAAGTCTGAGTTGGACTGGTTAAGTGATACAGCCGATTCCGACAATACGACCCGTGTGCGACATTGGGTTCGAGTTGATGTGCTTCAAGATGATTGCCACGCATGGATAGAGTCCTGGGAAGGCAATTGTATCTATTAATTAGGATATTTTATATAAATTCCTTAGAGATAAATGTGGGCAAAAGTCTGCCGCAAAGACTTATGGTATCTTAGAGTTTGTTAGAGATAAGAGTCGTGTCCAATATGGACATATCTTGTATTTCTCGGGTATAAATAGACCTCGAGCCCTATGTAATAAAAAACACACACGTTCAATACAATTTCGGCGCATCGCCACCCTTTTTGCTTTAGTTTTATTTCAACGAGTTATTGTTTTCGGGTTGAGCTGCATCGGTTTCGATCTTCAACAAGAGGTAAAACTTGTTATGGCGGCTT